ATAGAAATCGCAAACCCTAGATGATGAACAACAACAACTATAGCGAGGAATCACAAATCTCATTGAATTTCGAATATCAACACAACAAATCAACTTGATCTACAAACATTACCCCCAAAATCAGAATCAATTCTTAATCAAGCTTCAACTTCGCGCAACCCAACGTAAAATCAATTCGTGAAAAACAACAAATCAACAGATCTTGAATGAACAGAGAATACAAAGCAGCAGATTAAAGAGGAAGAGATAGTAAAATTGGTGGGATTCAAGCCCTCAAAACCGGCTCAAAATCGCAGCCCTCATAGAAGATGAAGAAGAATGAAGGAGGAGAGATAAGCTAAGGCAGGGCGGAAAAAAAAAAAAAAAAAAAAAAAAAAAAAAAAAAAAAAACAAGTACGAAACAGAAAGAAAGAAGAGGGGAAAGTGAAAGAAGGAAAAGGAGATCGAAGGATAGAGAAGGAGTTTGAGGCTCCATTTTTGTAGATGAGAGAGACTGAGAGAGGTAGATGAGAGAGGAGGAGATATCGAGGAAAGAGAAAGAAAGAAGATATAAAAAAGACCAGTTTTTTTTTCATAGCATTCGCACCGGTAACCGAACCGGTGCGATTAACTTATTTTTCGCACCGGCGCGCATTGTGCGGTGCTCATTTAAGTTTTTCTACTAGTGACTTGTTGTTATAGTTGCAATGTACTTTTTATGTTTTTTTGAAAAACGTGAGCAATCAAAAAAATATGTGAGGGGATAAGGAGTACCTGAGGAGGATGATGTAGGTGTAAAATTGTTGGATGGACTGTTTTCTGAATTGTATGTGTCACATAATCTCGCAATTTCGTCCATGGAATTTTTGTTCTTTTTCCTTTACCCAACTCCTCAACATTTCTCCCTTTTTCACTCACAAAACCGGACCTCTCACCCTCACTGAGCTGTTGTATTGATCTTCTTGTTGTTGGCTGCTCATGCCCCCCTCACCTAGCTACTGCTACTGGATGCTCACGCCAGCACCTGCTGGCCCCCAAACGGGTCGTACAGTAGGTACAACGATGTTGGCAGTCTCCTCCACAGCCATGTTGCGGTATTCCTCTCCTTGTTGTAGCTTGGTTGTGAAGCTTACTACTTGTTGCTCCTCACCTCCACCAAGCCATTCATCATCACTAAAATACTCGTCCACCATAAGCACTTGACTGTCCCTAGGTGACGCCACATTCTCCGGAGTACTAAACGGAAAAATATTCTAAAAAATCTAACATCTCGAGATAAAAAAATTTCTTCGGTTTCCAAGTCATAAATGCTCCATCCTTTATTCCCAATGGATACCCAAAAACACACACTTTCTACTCCGACTAGCAAATTTACCTCCCTTACTCCTTTGATTATGAGCATAGCACAAACAACTAAGAACACGAATGTACTCAGATGATGGAGGTTTATTGAACAAAATTTCAAACAGTAAGCAAAGGTGTTGGGGTTCTATCACTAGGCGAAAAATATAAATCCGCACCGGTTCAAAACCCCCTTTCGCACCGATTTTGAACCGGTGTAGATTTGAGGGATGCTAAATAGAAAAAAATTTCGCACCGGTTCGGTTCAAAACCGGTGCGAAAAAGTTCCCAAAAAAATTAAAAAAAAAAAGTTTTTGGCACCGGTTAACCGGTGCCAAAATGCCCCAAAAAATTAAAAAAAAAATTATGAATTAACATTCATACCCAATTTGCCGCGCCCGCGGGTCAAACTGGAGAAGGCGCGGCGAGGCATCTCCAGAAACATACAACGAACAATAAAATTAACATTCATACACCACCATTTTCAAACAAATTAAGTTGTTTTATCATTTACAGCTTTATCATATACTTGTAATCAAATAAAAATCTAAATCAATCACAACAAATATTTCAATAACACTCAAATCTTGATAAAATTCACAAACCCATCACCAAAAATCCTAACAAAAACAAACCCATTTAACAAAATCATCCAAATCACCTTAAAATTCAACAATACATATAAATTAAATTACAAGAAATAACTTGATTAAAATATACATACTTCAACACTCTCTATCGTTTGCTGTTCTGCCCATCAATTCCTCATCAATTTCCTCTAGCAACTTTGATCTCCAACACTAATCCAATCAAAAAATAAACTTAATTCAACCAGTCATTCATCATCCATTCATCTTCCAAGAAATCATCTGAAACACCACCTTCAATATTGACGGCGTTGCAGTCTCTAATCACCAACTTCATCATCGCCGCCTCTGACATCACCGCAACAAGTCGTCGCCGCATCCTCTTGCTGCGGTTTTCCTCTTTCTCTCGCTCTTTAACTCTCGGTCTCTCTCTCTCTCTCTTGAAGAAAAATTAAAGTTTAGATATGATGGTTTAAGGGGCAGGTGGCTTGGTTTTGGGTGGTTCTAGGTTGGGTTTTGTGGGTGGGTTTGGGTTTTGTAGGTGGTTCTGGGTTGGGTTTCGTGGGGGTGGGGGATTTCGTGGGTGGTTTGGGTTTCGGCAATGGTGGGTTTCAGCGATGGTTTGGGTTTCGGCGTTGGTGGTGGACTGGTAGGTTTCGGCGATGGTGGTGGACTGGTGGGTTTCAGCGATGGTTTAGTTTTCGGTGATGGTGGGTTTTTTAGGGTGTCGGTCTGGGTTTAGTTTGGTCAATGAGGAGAGAGAGGTAGATGAGGAAATGAAAGAGAAAGAAAGAGTATATATACAGACCGGGTTTTTTTTTTATATTTAGCAATAGCTTTCGCACCGGTTTGGTTAGGACCGATGCGAAAAACAAACGTTTCGCACCGGTTTGGTTAGAACCGGTGCGAAAAACAAACTTTTCACATCGGTTTGTTTGGAATCGGTGCGAAAACTCTATTTCCCAATCCCGCTTATTTTTTTTTTAGCATCGCTTTTCAAAAACCGGTGCGGATTGTGCGGTGTCTATTTCATTTTTTCTACTAGTGTATTTATCAAATGACAAGTCGATAAAACACATTCTCCCCAAAATTTCAATGGAAAATTACCTTGGAATCTCAATGCCCATGCCACATTTAAAATATGTTGATGTTTCCTCTCAACTCTCCCATTTAGTTGTGATGTTCCCACACACGATGTCTCAAAAATCATGCCATTTTTAACAAAATAATAACGCAAGGAATTAAATTCTGCCATTATCACTTCTAACAATTTTAATCACTTGATCAAATTGACGTTTAATCATAGCAACAAAATTCAAGAACATTTTTTCAACATCGGTTTTATTTTTCAACAAATAAATCCAAACTCCTCTAGAGAAATCATCAACTATTATTAAAAAATAATGTGCTCCACAAGAAAAAGGTGTTTTATATGAATCCCACAAATCTATATGAACAAGTTCGAATATACGACTTGATTTTTTTTCACTAATTGGAAACTACATCTAGATACAAACATCACATGCTTTATTACTATGTCTCCTAGAAGAACTACTCACAATTGGAATCATCTTCAACACTGTCTCTAAAGGGTGACCCATCCGTTGATGCCATAAATCAAACGAAGACTCTCCATCCACTGCTAGAACCTTCACTTGAAGAACACCACAGATATGATATAGTCCATCTTCAAGTTCACTCACACCAATCACCCTTCTCGTCTGCGGGTCTTGTATAACACATATTTTTTTAGTAAATTGCATCATACATCTAGAATCATCACTCAATTGAGTTACAGATATTAAATTGCAAGTTAATTGAGGCACATATAGAACATTGTCAAGCCGTAATCCGCTAGGTAATATCACTGTTCCTAATTGATCCGCATTAGCGGACTTTCCATCGGGCAAACCAATGGGACAATTTTGAACACGCTTTAAATTCTTAAGCATCACATGTCACATGATTTGATGCCCCTGTATCTACAATCCAAGGTATAATATTTTCCTTACCATGTAATTGCTTCGTTTTTGGATTTAAAATATCCAAAATTTGTTGAATTTGGGTGGCATTCACACCAACCAAACTTGCTGCCGCATCAGCAGTAGAAGGAGCCTTTGAATGCTGTTGTGTCGAGTTCCCACTCACTTTATTTGCCCTCACAGTTTGCTGCTGGGAGGATGATGTTGATGTCGTGTTGCTGCCTCTAATACGAGACCCCCGGCCACTAGCACTACGCCCTCCTCCGCGTCCTCCACTACGACCTCTTCCTCGACCACCACGTCCACGATCCCCCACCACGGGGGATAGCTGTGTATTTGAAAACATCCGCTTTCATCATGACCCTCTCTATTACAGTAATCACAAAATTTATCACTGTTATCCTCATAGCGTTGTTTTGCTCTCGAATCGACCGTAAAGGCCACTGCATTCTCCACCTTCGTACTCCCCTCTCGGAGTCTCTCCGCTATCACCACGCTTTGATACGCAACATCTACACTTGAAAATGGGCTTTGTGCAAGAAGTTGTGCTCGAATTGCCGCATAATGCGAGTATAGGCCAATAAAAAAAATAAGGAAATTTTGATTTTTACCACCTTCAAATAACGACTTTATTGAATTTACCACCTCCAAAAAAAAAGATTTACTTTACCACCTCATAAAAAAATTAAACATCAGTTTTCCCACCTAAGCCTAACTCCGGTGACGGAAACCGCCAGAGGGGCCCGCCATAACAACTAGTTTTTGAAATTATCCCCAAATTCTCCCGATTTCTCATTGATTTAAACCTAACTTCTTCATTTCTACATCTATTTCGTGAAGATTGGAGTTTTTTTTTGCCATTTTCTTCACAAATTCTGATTTTGGGTGATCCTTAACAATCCCACATCCTCAAATTATCAAATTATTGAAGATTGTACTCGGCCCTGAATCAATTGAACTGTTCGACGACAAACAGCGAAAAGGTAGGCAATTTTCATGAATTCTGTTGTAATTTTTTGCAATTGTTTGCGTGATTATGTTACAACTGCTAAGCATAATTGAAATTGCATGTTTTCTGTTATTAATTCAACCCCAAGTTCATATTGTAAATAATTAGGGTTCATGTAAGTGTAAATTAATTTGGGGGTTTTTGATATTTCAATTAGGCAGTAAAATTAGGGTTAGATTATGGTAATTGTGTTCAAATACAATTAACTTCAATGAAAATTTGGCAGTAGAAATGGTCACACTACCTCCGAATTACGAGAACAATTTTTTTCCAGAAGTCGAATCTATTCTTCGTCGCCGTTTGTTTTCTGAAACCTCTGTCATATAACAATCAGGTTCAGGAAACAGAAATTGAAGCAGCTCAGGTACGAGTAATTGTTGTTGCTCATCGAAATTGAAGCAGCTCAGGTACGAGTAATTGTTGTTGCTCATCCACGGATTCGGTATTTATAAGATCAAACACGTTTTTGTTTGCAATCCTTAAGCCATTAAGGATACAAATCAGACCAAAAACCAAGCTATAAGCAAATTATAAGATGAACTTTGGCTCATTTACTACCCAAATTAAGGATTTGTAAAGAAAATCGCAAAAAAAATACTTCAATCTTCAACAATTTGATGTGGAAATGAAGAAGGTTGTTTAAATAGGAGGAAAATCGAGAGAATTTGGGGATAATTTCAAAAACTAGCTGTTATGGCGGGCCCCACTGGTGGTTTCCGTCACCAGAGTTAGGCTTAGGTGGGAAAACTGATGTTTAATTTTTTTATAAGGTGGTAAAGTAAATCTTGTTTTTTTTGGAGGTGGTAAATTCAATAAAGTCGTTATTTGAAGGTGGTAAAAATCAAAATTTCCAAAAAATAATGGAGATAATCCTCCTCCCTAATATTGTCCGCTTGTGTAACAATGTTACACTCACGCTTGCCACATTTACATTTAGGAACACGCACATAATCGAGCAGTTCCTTCCAAATTTTCGATAACCGACCAAAATAGTCCGCTATAGTCTCCGTAGAGGTTTTCTTGCACTCCCCTAATGATGTCTTCAACTGGCACACTCGAGTACCACTAACCACGCAGAACCGATTTTTGAGGTTAGTCCAAAGCACACTTGCATCATCATAATCACTAACCTTTGATCATGTTTTTGGGTCAAGTGTATTAGTAATCCAAGACACCAACATAGATTGAACCGTAATCAAATCCTCAAGCTTTGCAGCATCCTTCGGCATAGCAATTGTACCATCAACAAAGCCAAATTTCCTCTTCGCCATTAAAGAACGTCTAATCGCTTGAGCCCACTCATCGTAATTTTCTCCTTGCAATTGAATTAGAGTAATGACATTACCCGGAGCATCACTCGATCCTAGGCAATATGTCAAGTTTACGGTAGTTTTCTCACCCATCTCTCAAACAAAATCATTTCTACTGCTTGTGTTTTGGTTTCTTTCTTTTGACAATTTGGAGAGAAAAAATTAGGGTATAACCTTGGCTCATGATACCATGGCAAATTAATCATATAAGATCTCAACTTTCTCATTCATCTTTCACATATATTTATACAAGAGTATAGCTTGGGGGATAATTAACCTATCAAGATAATATAACACAATAGCACAATATCTTCCTAAAATATTATCATATAAGATATATTCCTATCTTAACAACCTAGAAATTGGGGTTAATTAAGGATGAGAGAGAAAAAAAATTGCCTGAAGAACTTTAGGAGGTTGAAAATCTGAGACGCCTTACGAAGAAAAGAAGAATCGGTTAATGAATTTCCACCAATGGGACATAAATCAACGAATAGAGCTCTTAAATTCCATTTGTTCAACCACTTTAATGCTCCCACTTGGGTCACAAGCTTGCGTGACCAAGCTTAGCAAGTAATTGACGGAGAAACATCACTTTTGGTGGAATGAACGCCGAACAATTTTTTGATTTTTGTTTTTTTAATTTAATCATAGTTTTTAATTTTAATAAAATAATTATGAAAATAAAAAATTGATTTTCCAAAAATTAGAAATTATTTTTTGAAAAAAAAATGAATTATAAAAGAGGTTTGACCAAGCATTTTTAAAAAAGGAAAAATCAACCAATCAGATTTAAGAATAGTAATGATCATTTGAAGCATCACCATAGTAGAATTTTCACTGTAACCATACAAGCATGCTAAAGCTTTATAATGTAACGCAAAAGTACTGCCACCAAAACCCAAAATTACTGCCACCTATATAACACTGTACTCAAGAGGATCTTAAGATTTAAGATTAGGAATGACTAACATGTCCGTAGTATATATATTGTCCAAATGTCCATACTTGATTATCGCAAAGGGTTATCTGGACTTGTTAGTTGTCATATATATGCCATACAAGCATGAAGTTGCAAATTATTTTTTTATGCTACAAATTTAATTAAGGCTCATTTATTTTGTAAGTTTTGAATGAAAAATATTTTCCAAGAAAATAATTATTTTACTTTTTCATTATTTAGTTTGTAAAGGGTGAAAAACAATAATACTTCGTAGTAGTTTTCCCCAGTAGTGAAAATTATTTTCCTTTCAAAAGAAAAAATTATCACAATTTTCTTCCAACTCCTAACTTTATTCATCAAACTATACTTTCATCCACTTTATCCCTTCCACTCCCATTTTATATTTTTATTCGTCACTCATCCACGTTAATCTTTTATGTGGGGAAACACACTACGAAAATCTATTTATAAGATTGTATTTTCTCTTATAAAAACCTTTTTCTGAAATATATTTTCGTCAAAACAAACGCAAACTAAGTACCTCATACCTTTTCCTTATTTTTAAAAACACTCCATATTTAATGTGCTCCAATCCTTTTGTTTTATTTTGTTTGCGCATTGTATACTTAGAATGTTATACTCTAATAATGACTTTTTTGTAGTTTAATGACTTTTCCCAATACTTTAAAACATAATCACTTAAAATCTTGTTAGATTCGTCTCAACTTTTAGATTCCAAATATAATTATATACTTTTTTGTAATAAGTAGCTTGTGATATATTAGTTACAATATTATTACATTATAAACTATGTAAAAAACAATGCAAATTAGACAAATAAAGTGAACAGAGGGAGTATTGATATAAGGAGTCTAATTAACACTATACTTGTTACAAAAAAGTTGCATCATTTTAATTTTAACACTTGTCAACACAAAATTTTAATTGTTAATTAATATATTTTGTTTATTATATTAACCAAATTATAAACATATATCTAACATACATATACCAAGTTTAATCTTAACAACTACTTACAAGTTACAAACCATATTTCTTTTGTATTAACAAAGTCTGAGGTCAAAATTTATAGATAAATATGTAAAATGGTGAAGCTAGTTTGAAATAATGGAGTAAATAAAATTTAAAATAGTCATTAAAATAGGAGAAAAGAAAAGTTTAGAAAAGATTGAGACTAGATAACTGAGATAAGTCGACCAATGCATGCTCGGGAGGAGGACCACGTAAAAGTACAAAGAGAATTTTCATTACAATTCATGCAAAATCACGTATTAAAGTTCTTTATTACTTAGGTTTTTTTGTCCACTTGTAAAATGGAACCTCTTGGAATATTCAAAATCCTGAAATTCAACCATTTCCCAAAAAAGACGTTGAAATATTAGCATCACCATATGCTAGCCACCATTATTGGAATGTAGAAATTGCAAAGGATGAATCCTTGAAAAGGTATTTGATCTCAAAGTTTCATTGATGAAGCAAATTTCAAAAATCGAGTAAATAAATTTATCAGGATTCTTTGATTCTTTTTCTTTTGAGCAAAAGCAAAATTCATTCTTTAGATACTCTTCGTACCACTTAAGTTATAAGATATTTACTATATCTACCATCTTCATACATTTAGAATTTAGAAGAAGGTGTCTATTAAGTTACTTAATTATTAGCTTAGTTGGATTGATTGTTAGGGTTATATATCGGTCGGACCGAAGATCAAAAATTTAAAATTTAAGACTTAGAGATCGAACCGATTTTGCATAGCGAACCTGGACCAGACTAGTAAAACTCGTCCAAAATCCAGATTAGACTGATTTAATTTTATAAACTTTCTATGTTTTTGTATAATCTTTTATACATTTTGAAAAATAGAAAAAAATAAATACGGAGTACATAGTATAAGAAAATGATTGTTTAACGCTTAATTTGAATGTCTAACATAAGATAGCTTACAATATAAATATTAGGCTTGGCAATTCAGTGCGGATCCGACTCTACTCCGCCCCGATTCGAGGAAAAAAATCAGCTTTGAGTCCGGAAAAAAATAATCCAAATCCGACCCCATTAAAATAATTTGAGTCCGAGTCGGAGGAGGGTCGGAGTCATATCCTACCGAAAAAAAAAAAAAAAAAAAACCGACTTCGAGTTTAGTTGGTTAAATGTTTGCTATTGCGCTGCACTTGTAATTTTCTATGAGAATTATGAAATTGTTGTACAAATGTAGACAATTTCACAAGTAGTACTCAATGTTTGCTTTGTTGTACTTTGTATTGGTATTATTATCTCTATTTTTAGTGGAATTTGTGAATTGTAATTTATTACAAATGTTTTTTAAGAAACCTAACAAAACAAAGAAACTCGAAGTTGGTTTGGATCGGAGTTGAAGTCAGAGATCGGATTTGGAGTCGGATGTCGGAGTCGGATTTAGCCTCCGATTTCATGTAGGGTCGGAGTCGGATTTAGCATAATCCACTCCAAATCCGACCCATTGTCATCCCTAATAAATATATTTATAGCATTTGAAGGGAAAAATTAAACATTATAGAAATTTTATTCATAGCTTCAAACAAAAAAAAAAGTTCAGTATAAGACTGTTTGTAACGGGTTTTGTATCAAATCGGACCAAAAATTGGTTTTTAAAGATTTTTGGTCATTTTTTTGGTCTTGACCAGTTTTTGAATTGAACACCCCTATTGGTAATACTCCATTCATTTCATAACTAGGGCAGCTAACGTGCGTGATTTGCCCGTCATAGCTAGTCATATCCAGAAGTTATTTCAGTTTGGCCTTAAATCACAAATTTAGTTGTTGATATGTAAACAACTATGTTTAGAGGTATAAATATCCAAGGCAACTAACATTAATTATTAAAATTAAGTAAATAAACAATTTTGAGGGTATAATTGTCCAACCACTATTCATTAATAAAAACTTGTACATATTAATGAGGGTTTATATGTATATACACATTTTAAAGGGTATAATTGGCATCACACTAATTATAAGAGTAATCTTATACTTTTTATAAAGTAGGGATATATACTAACCTTGTTTCATAAAAAATTGGTTATACTTGTTCACGATATTTATTGTATACTCTTCAATATATATATAGACTAGTTTTGTGCTCGGACGATGCCCAGATTGTTGATAAAATTTTAGGATAAACTTTTTGGCTTGAATGTTAAATACAGTCATATAATCCATTTTGAAAATAAAAAATATTTAGGCATATGATATCATATCGCTTATTTATATAATAGTGTATTTTTTATATTTTTGTTTGTAAATAGATATCTACTCATGTTGTTATTAAGTTGGAATTATTTT